AATATATATATATAAAACCACGCTAACCTCCACCGTGTCAGTACCTTGGATTGTCTCCACTCTTCTTTTAGCAAAAGAAAGTCTTTGGCTGCAGCTGGTGAGTCGTGTTTTAGCTGCGTCCATTTCTGTCAGCTTGCTTTCAAATTCCTGTGAGAACCTGTGAAGTTTGGAATTTGCAGAGATTGTCTTGTGATGAAAATCTGACAAAAAAATCAGGTGAAACAGTTTTACCTTCGCAGAGCCGTTGTCAAGGCTTTTACATCAGCTTCTGTTTTCTGGTTCTGCAACGTCAGCTCAGYGTTTTCTTTTTGAACCTCGGCCAAGTTCTGTTTTAACACCTGACAGGGAAAAACAGACATCTTTACCAAACTACTGTTTAAACTGAGATGCTTGTTTTTAATCATTTCTCTTTAAATGTCGACAGATCCATACAAAGGTTTTGCACCGTCAGCATTGTTCACCTAAATAATCCTAAAGTTACAACACTTGATGGAAAACAGAGTAAATCCCGTCAGTTGTTCTCTTACGAACCTCTTTCTCCACTTTCTCCAGGTCCAGCTCGGCCATCCTGTCATGCAGACTGTGTTGGAGCACGYTGGTTCTGTGCTGTTCCTGCTGGAGCTGCTGCTCCACGGATCTCACCTGAAACACACACACATAAATGTCGCTCATCCCTCGTCACATGCGATTAGCTGGCGTCACTGCTGACGACTGCTTTCATACTTCTGAAAGGAGTCCGTCCTTCTCTCTTCGCATCTCAATGTCCTTGGAGCGAAGCTGGACGCATAACTTGAACACTTTCTCTCGCCACAGATGAAGGATTTGAAGAACGTCCGATCTGCTCTTCATAAGTGGATCGGACGAGCTCTGCTGAAAAACACACACACAAATATCAGTTCAGCTACCAGTAYATTCAATATACCTGAGGACAATTATGCACAAACGATTCACCTTTCTCATGAAATCCAAAGAAGTTTCAGTTCATGTGAGAAAAGTAATAAAGYTTTTACATAAAATGCCTGGGAAGGTACTGACTCAAAATATTATCTTCAAGAATGTTTCACTCATAAGAACTCCCTGGCTCCAAATCTCCTCCTTTGAAAACAGCACGTTTTTTGCATTTGCACTATTCACCATCTAAAACCACCGAACTGACTGAGATCTAAAGCACCTCATCATGTCACAAAAGCACAACCTTACGTTTAAAACCTAAAAGCGAGCTGGTACTGGGGAGTCTTTGATAAATGCAGTAATGGGTTACCTGCAGGGGAACTTTTTGTRCTAACGTTTCAACAGGGCACCCCGTGTGAACCTGGTTCTTTTTAATTATTTTAACCCAGTGTAGTGTGAGATAAACATTTGTGTTTTTACAATTCATGAAGTTTTTTTTTTCTTCACACTTTGCTCAGTTTTTTTCAAAAACAAGACTATTTGTGAAAACATTACAGTGAATTAATAAGATGCTCAAACTAAAAGAAGCAGTCCCTACTGCTCATAATGTGTTATGAACAATGCATGTGAGGACAATTTTCATATTATATATATAT